ATAAAAAACAAGTACTTCCTGTGAGGTAAAAGGACAGAAGGTAGGGTAAGGAATCCACATGTATGGGCCCTGAGAATGAAGGAACTCTAGAAAGACAAAGTGATACTTTACTACCTGGGTTCGTTTAAAAAATACTCTGTCATGAGTACAGGGGGAAGGGGGAGACAATGAAATAAACCACAAAATCCAACCACCCTCACACTCAGAGCGAGGAAAGAGAAAATCTCCTGGCTGGCCTTAGAATCAATTAAGCAAATAAGTGACAACTACTTAGCTATCTCCCTCTATGCCCCTTCTCTGAGCTCAGCCAACAGCCATCTTCCTATTCTGCCCCTCACTGTCTACCACATTGCCCCAAATCCAAAATAACCCAGGACACACTGATAGTATTCTGGTTCTATATGCAAAGTTTACCTGCTCTGGGTTAATTCACTGCTTTTCTTAGTCCCCCAGCCCTATGCTTTCCTTGGGTTTACCAGAATATGAAAATTTGAGATTTTCAGTTTCATCTATATTAAAAAAAAAAAAATAACATACACATTTTATTGTGTGTAAACAAAAAATTAATGGGAAATCTGTGAGATGTGAGAGCTTTGTTAAAAGAACTAAAGCAAATCCAAAACCTAGACAGAAAAAAACATTTAAAAAAGAAAGAGGAAAAAACCTAGCCAGAGAGCACCCATCACTGCTTCCCAGATTTACTCCTCGTTCATTCCAAGCTCCTGGCTCCTAATTCTCCCCAGACCCCTCCATCTGCTGATCTCCCAGTTTCATCCTCCTGCTCACCAGCAGTACCACAGGGGTCCCAGGCAGTTGGCAGTACAGCTGCCACTAGCATGAGGGCACTGGCAGGGACCAGAGGGAGCCGTCACATTACAAGAAACACTGACTGCAAATGACAAGTTTACATCTACTCAATTGTTGAAAGGAGATGCAGCTGTGCCAAGAAAATCCCATTCTCCAGTCACCAAATTTATGAAGTATTTCCTGCATTTTAAATATTCACTCCTCAGAAAATGCGCAAGGACCATAGAACATAGTCCTACACCTAAAATTTATATTAAACAGGAAAGTCTTTAAGACTTGGGAGAAACCTTGACTCAGCTTCTCTATCCCACCTCTGCCCCCAAGAAAGTTAACCAAGATGCTCTCCCTGAAGCGTCTACTGGGAAACCTATTGGCTAAATTTCCACAGGTTCACTGTACACCCAACCCTAGGCAGTGTGTACTCAATTGTTATCTCATTGTTTCAAGAGTGAATACAGGCTGATGACCACACTAGAATGTCAGCTTTCCAGGGGCAGGACGGATACTTCTTTAGCTTTGCACTTCAGCATACGGTTGAACATTTGGTAGACTATGCCAATACTACTAATGCATCCTAAAATTATTTTGAAGAAATTTTTTTAGTTTAGTAGTTTAAGAAAAAATGTTGAATTGTCCCTTTAGATGCTTTTCTGTTTTTGTTTATTTAGGAAGTTACAGCAGACCTTACTTGATACATAAACCAAAGAAACCCCCATAAAGTTTTTCACTGTCTGAATTATAAGATGGACTGACAGACCATCTTCAGGAGGGAGGATCTTGCTTTATTTTGCCTTCATTGCAGCACAAAATATTCAATAAATGGTTCACTGCACGGACTCTTTGTAAGATGGAGTCAGAGATCTATTTGCTTTACTCTTCCTTTCCCATTTTTCCTCAATCCCCAAACAAAGGCCACATTCTGAAGACATCGGGGAATGCTCACTGCTCAAGAACCAACTGAGGACAGAACCCCAGCATCCCTCTTCTAAACTAAAAACTGACACTACAAAGGAGCAAATTCTCCTCCTTGAAGATCAAAGTTATCTTTCCAGTGAAGAATCCCAAATCATTCTTTAAACCTTCAGTCATTATGTAAACTGAAACCTGGGTGGCACATAATTTTTGAATGACGGATATTCACAACAGAATGTTTATACAACAGACAAAACACTAAACCACAGACTTTACTGGTTAACTTGTAAAATTCACTTTGCACTACTAATTTTAATTTTTCAGTAACTGATACTCCTTTAAAATTTCAGTGATAGGATATGTGCTTTGATTCTCCTCATTCAAACACAATGCTGCCATTTATCAAAGCACTAGAAAAAGGGAATTTCTTTCTTGGTTTAAAAATTCAGTATTTTGGTTGCTTTTAAACCCCATATTGAATAACATTCTCTATTGTATTTGTGACTCACCCTCATATGAGATGTCACCATACACATAAGTGGTAAATAAAACATATTAGAACAGTACTCTAGCTTCAAAGTTCCTTATGATTTAATTTTTTTAAAAAAATAAAGTCTTTCCCTTCAACATTCTGACATCTGGATGTTGCTTTTTTATGGTTTAAACTAAAAAAAAAAAAATTTAACTTGGGCTGAGGAACTATTAATCAAAAAGTTTTTTTCCTCCACATTGTTAAAAGGAGACAGTGTTCCTCGCAAACAAGAAGACAGCTCAAAACTTTCCTAGAACTCTCAGGTACTAAAAGTGTTCTCCATTTTTTTTAAATCTTTCTTAATTCTACATGGACACAATATCTTTATTTGTTTGTTTATTTTTATGTGGTACTGAGGATCAAACCCAGTGCCTCACGTGTGCTAGGCAAGCGCTCTGCCCCTGAGCCACAACCCCAGCCCATGTTCTCCACTTTGAGTGGGTTGTGGGCTATACAGACGTACACATAAACTATACTCTTAGGATCTCTATATTTCACCAGTTGTTAATGAAAAAGATTCTTTAAACTTTTCCGCAAATGACATTTCAAAGTTGATCGTCAATGTCATGTGTAACTTGCAGAATTCATCTCAGACCTAAGGTTTTCAAGACTTAACAGGATCCTAAAGCCAAAGGATATCCCACCAAAAAGTGAAAGAGTCACCTCCCCATTCCTATATTCCTGACATTTCCATCCCAAATCTGTTCAAATGGGAACTGCCCAGGATCAGAGGCTCCACTCACCTCAGCTGTCTGCGAAGGCATCTTCAGTTTGGTGAGCTTGGCTTCAGCAGGCACTTTTGAGTCTGTTCTTTCAAAGTTCTGTTGCCGGTACTCCTCCGGCAGTGGTTTCAGCTCAGGGGACTCACTTGGAGCCTGATCTTGACCATCCATGGGCCTCACATAAGCTGTGGGCTTCTGCTGCATTGCAACACTTTTTGAGGGGAGGGAGGGGGGTGGAAATGTCTGAGAAGGTGGCTGGGGAGGGGCTACCCCATGGCTGACAACTGCCACCAAACTGTCTTGAGGGGTCTCATTATCATGAACCTTCACCGCCAGGTCCTTGGGAGACTTGGTTGGGCAGTAGCCTTTATTGTTATTGCTACTACTGTGAACCTTGCTGCTTCCTTGCATCCTGGGAAGAGTTTGCTGGTTGGAATGTATAGGTGACAAAGGGGGCACTGGGGAAGGCAAAGAAGAAATCAAGGGAGAGAGCTCCCTTGCTGGAGCCGAGTCTATTGTTAAAGCACAATGGTCTCCATCAGCTCTATGATCACCTTTTTTGTGATGACTAGAGCTGTATCCCTCCTGTCCAAGACGGTCCTGGATCAGGTGCTGGCTGTCTGGTGGGCCATAGTTTTTGGCATGGAGACTTGGCAATGGTTCCATTCTTGGCTGTGCTATCTTTGGATTGTGGCTAATGTTACCAACAGGAAGTGGTCCCGAGGCGGGAGTGTAAATGGGCTGGTGGTGGATACTGGTATGGAAGGAGTTGGATGGAATGCTGCTCCCCTTGTCAGGAAATAAAGAATATCTTGGTTTTCCCAACCTATTTTCAGAAGCATCCAAGCACTGAGGGTGGGACTTGGTACTAAGGAACTCCTTCACTTCTTCATAATTTCCCAACATGTTCTGTATCCGACTGGACAGCTCATCACCTTTTGCTGTCTGAATAAAAGAAAAGAGCATGGTCAGATACTGGAGGGAATAAGTCTAAGGAGAACAATCATTTAATAAACTGCTACATAATACCATTAAGATAAAAATTCTCAATGTCATGTGTAACTTACAGAATTCAATGTGGAGTTTTAACTCATTTCCCATTGTAAAGCCTGTCCTGCACACATATTACTAATTATACAAGACATTACAAAAGAAAACCACAAACTTTGGTAGTTTTAACTAATGATACTCAGAGAATTTTCAGATTTGGTTCCAAAAACAATCTCTAGAAGAAGTTTTCACAATTGTGAACCTTATTTGAATTCAATTACACTAAATCATTTCATCACCGAGCTTAATATTATGATAAATCAGATTTTCACACTCTAGTATACAGTAAATACCTTGTAAGGTTCTCCAAAAAGGGGGATTTTTTCAGGAAATGTCTCCTTCTCTTGGTGAGCTTCCTGGTTGCGTCTCTCTTTCTCTCTAATTCGAAGCAGGTTTCTGTCTTCATTGTACAAGCTGTTTCAGATGCCACAATAAAACAAAAACAATAAAACCTATGAGTATTCAAGTTTTGTCATGCCCATGGTGCGTATGTGGATCAAGATGAGGATAGGTCTAAGGAGAAGAAACGACAGGGATGTGACTTAAAGAAAGTCCCTTAACCCACCCCTAGACTGAGGCTTCAGTCAATTGGCTGTGACTTGTCATCCACTGTCCTGTCTCCTCAATCCCAACCAAGCACTCACTCTAGGCCTCCATCATGGCTCAGGACCGACTCTAAGACGAACGGTCTTTTATAGGCACTGGGGAACTGAGACAAGAGTAATGATATTTTGACTTTCAGCTTGCAAAATATGGGGTACAGGCAGAAGCTTTTCATCTGAAGGAATCAGCAGGATGTGAACTTTAAAAAGGCTGTTTTCCTGGATCAGTGTCGTACGTTTTGGAAGATTAAAATCAAAAGGCTTATTTTATAATTAAAAGATTACCAGGCACCCAAAACAGCATTTACCTTATTCTCAGCCTACTCTACTGGGAGTGTCTTGGCATGTAAATCCAAAAAAAGATGATTTTTATTTCTTATTTCAAGTGTCAAGGATGAGAAAATCCAATTATAGAGATGTCAACTCTACCTAGTGAGAATGTCTTATAAACTGATTGCCCTACTTAAACCATATAAAATATATCTAAATCATCAGCCTTGGCACCAGAGGGGTTAAAATGCACTCACTGAGGAACAGATCACAGAAATGGATTCTGAAAGAAGGGCAATTTTAGCTGTCTCATGAACCAAAGAGGGCCTGCCTCACTGTCAGCAACACAACCCACTCATGTGATAATAAATAATGAAAATTAGAACTATAAAAAGCCTTTTGTCTTCATAGACTTGCTTCTAGAGAATCCCCTGAATCATTTTTCCCATTGCTATTTAAACAAACAGGAAAATATTCAATTGCCTCAGCTGTGTGCACTACTACAAACTCTAACCTCCCTGGTCCTTCCCTCTCTCTTGACTTAGCTTATTTCCTCTGGCAAAAGCTTGGTTGATTCTTTGGCTCCCCCATATCCCTCAAATTCAGCTTTCACATGGAAAGAAGCCTGGCCTAAGGCCCCGATTCTCACGTCACTATCCATATTTAAAGTAACATTATTTGATGGCTCCTTTATATTGCAGAATAAACTGAATCCTTGCTTTGGCATTAAAATTCCCTCATAATCTGGTACAGCTCAATTATGGGGGTACATGACCCCACTGTACCCCCAAAAGGCCTACCATATGCATTCTACTTGATTCCCACAAGTCCGTTTCCCTGTCAGGGCATTCTCTTGCTCTAATGCCCATCCAGACCTTTACTGAAAGATAAGCAATTCTTCCAGGACCAACTTAGCTAGGAAGTAGGACTGTCCAAAACACCACTTCTATATTCCAGTCACACAAGACTACTCCCTGCTTCTCAGTGATATCCTAGACTTTGATGGTTTCACTCTAATCGCAAAAATTTCTATGGCTTCTCTTTCAACTTCACATCCCCAGCCCCAATTGTCAGCTTCCAGAAGATCTCTGGAAATATTCGAATGTCACCCACTCCAAAGGCTTCCTCAAATTCACCAAGTGTGTGCTTGCTGGACAGGTCATTGGTTACCTTTTCTCCCCCACTTTTCCCTAGAACATGAACTTCAGTAGAATAGAACCTCTTGTTCTGCATAACCTCCCTCCTGGGTGTAAGGCATGACACTTTGCATAGAAGTTAATCATTAAATATTTTTAAATAAAAAAGGCAGCCACTGTGCTTTCAGTGCTGTTGTTGTTGTTTTAATAAAATTACTTGCAACTTTTTTCTTAAACTCTGGAAAACATACAATTTTCTAAAAAAAAAAAAAAATAGAGCCATATAACTAAAAAGAACATAAATAAATAAATTAATTAATTAGAGCTATTTTAAAGACTGCTATTACCACAGTCTTTCAATCTAAAAGTGGGGAGAACTAAGCTACCTGATTAAATTTGATAGATAGGATACTGTCAAAAATCATCTGCTTAGACCATTACTCCTTAGAAGACAGATATTGCAATTTTAGATTTAAACAGAACTCATAATTACAAAGGTAACTATTTAGGATAGTGAACATACTGAGAGAAAATAAATTAGAACTGACTGGAATCTTTTCTAATTGAATCTGGATGTCACATGCTTTGGATATTTAGACTTAGGTCTGATTGACAGTAGCACAATGGACTTGACCACTCAAGGATTCCTTTCAATTATTTAATGATTTTGCTTATTCTTCTTGTTGTTTCAAGAGGTGACATACATTAGCATACAGCTGCATAAGCTACTTGAGAGTGCTGATTAGAACATAATTTTTTTTTCCTTTACACTTGTCTTTCAGCCACTTTGGGTCAATTTGCAGGAAATGGTGATGTATGCAACTATACTCTGGAGCCACTTGAAACTCCCAAGAGCCTTTCCTGAAAAACTGCCCTGTGCACCACGCCCTGCACCTTGCTGAGGTCAGGCCAAGCTGCACGGGTGGTTAAGCAGGAGCTTACCAAGGGCCCCAGCTCAGCTGTGCTCACCAGCAGGGGAGTTGTTTTCTCCCCTTCTGTTACTGCTAGTTTCAGGAGGAGTCCCTAGAGCTTTATTTGCTCCTCAGTGTTCACAGCTTTTGGCTCTGCTTTGAAGGGCAGTGTTATGGTCACTTCTGAGCAGTCTCTACCTTTGTCTCAGAAAAGAGAACCTCAGACAGCAAAATTCTCAGTGGGGAACTAAAAAGTGAGGGTGTGAATAGTAGTCCCTCAACTAAGGCTGCTCGGGGGTCCTTGCTTAATTTCCCCTTTATTCTATACTCAACTGTACTTAAACAAAATGACACTAGTTTGCAATCACTAGAATATTTCTAAATCAATCAGCTCGGTCTTGTGTCAGCCTCATCTCAGGATCAGTTAGGTTTCAACGTACTTCTGGTTTTTCATTCCAAAATAATGAAAACTGTTACAGAAATAACGGGGGTGGGGGGGAAGCAATTAGGCTGTTCTTTCATAAAATGCCTAACACTGGGCTTATTACTATGTGATTCTAAAATCAAGGGGCCTCCCACAGAAGAAATCCTATTAAGTTAAGGATTCTGGTTAATTAAGGTTTTACTTCATTTGTTTCAAAAAAAATAAAAAATAAAACCTACACCAAGATCTTATTGGCAAACATATGCAATACTCTGCCAATTTTAAAGCAAACTATGATTTTGGTTTTAATTCACCCTCACTCTTCAACTGAAAAGCCTGTAAATAGTGAGGGAAATCAAGACACAATGCATGTTACTTCTAGGATGAATCTTCTGAGGCTCGGACTTTGTGAGACTCTCACTCATGCCCTCTGGGGCAACATCCTTTTGAGCCTCACTCACCAAGGCTCCTGGGCAGGGCAGAGGAAAGCCAAAAAGGCAGGAAGTTCACAGAGGTGCATGGGGGAGGCTGTGAACCTTGGCTGTGGGTTGCCTCCTCTCTCCTTGCAACTGACAGGCCTTTGCCAGTTGTACTGACTGGACTTATGGTTTGTTCCACTTTATACTTAAAACAAATCTGAAATAGCTGAGGGAAGAGTCTTTAAAAATTTTTCAGGAATATTTCCCTCTTTGTGATTCCATTTGGAAAAGAAAGGCAATGTAACTTTTTTTTTTTTTTTAGTTGTAGATGGACACACAATACACAATATCTTTATTTTTAAGTGGTGCTGAGAATCGAACCCAATGCTTCATACAGGCGAGGCAAGCACTTTACCAGTGAGCTACAGCCCCAGTTGGGTAATGTAACTTTTTAAATAACACAAACAATTCATAGTATGAGTAAACTTTTGTTTAGCCTATAATATATCATGGTTCTCAAAACAAGGTATAAGCAAAGAGTGGGCAGGGGGAAAAATGTTAAATAAGGGGATTTTCAGGAAGCAGCAAAAATGTTGGACATGATTCACAAACTCTGTAATTACCCTTGAATAATTACAAGTTAACTATCACTTTAATGAAAGGTGGCTTTTCGGTGTGGAGGGAAAAATGCATTTTCACTCTCAGACACACACAGGATAACCTCATCCCAACATTAGCCTGGTGAGAGGTTCTCACTGATCCACACATAATACAGTGAGTTACTAGTTCTCCTGGCTGGCATCTGCAAGGCACTTTGCATTAAAGAGGTTCTCCACCTTGAGTGAACAGAGTCACGTGAAGGGCTTGTGAAAACAGAGCATCAAGAACCACAGAGTTTCCGTTCAGCAGTTTGAAGGTGGGGCCTGAGACTGGCATGGTGAACGACTTTTCTGGGTGGTTTTGAGGGGTACAATGGAGTTCACACTGATGGGAGCTGACCTCAAAGCAGCCTGCCAAGGACTATCAACTTTGGGGCTGATCCTTAGTCTGTATCCTGCTTAGTTTGCACAGCCACCCTGTGACAGTGGGATTGTGACCCCCATTTTCCAAGTGAAAAATAAAGCTCAAGGAGTGACTTCTTTATAACTATAGGCCTGATGGTCCAAATGCCTAGCAACAAAGTGTGTGCTCTCAATCACAGTTCTGGAAGCAAAACTTTCCAGCGTTGTTAGACAGGTCTACAACAACAGAAGATGTGCTCACTTAGAGCCACTCATAATTCCTTAGTCTCAAGGAGGTACATGCTGATAAGTCAGGATCCTCCCAGCCAGCAGAGCAAGCTCAAAGCCACAAAACAGATGTCTGCTAAATGTGTCCACACAGGTCTGTCCTTGTCTAAGGACCTCACAGAAGGCCCTTAGAAAGAGGGAGAGCAGCCAGGCATGGTGGCACACGTCTGTAATACCAGCAACTCAGGAGGCTGAGACAGAAGGATCGCAAATTCAACGCCAGCCTTAGCAACCGCAAGTGCTAAGCTACTCAATGAGACCCTGTCTTTAAGTAAAATACAAAATAGGGCTTGGAATGTGGCTCAGTGGTCGAGTGCCTCTGAATGTAAAAAAGGCTGGGGGGCGGGGGGGATATAGCCAACA